CAAGGCTGAACAGAGCCATGGAGGGTAGGGTACTCTGGGGTGCTCCCAAGGCTGAACAGAGCCATGGAGGGTGGGGTGCTCTGGAGTGCTCCCAAGGCTGAACAGACCCATGGAGGGTAGGGTGCTCTGGGGTGCTCCCAAGGCTTAGCAGAGCCATGGAGAGCAGTAGACAAATCACATCCAAATCGTCAGTGAATGAACGTTCATGTTAAGAAGGTCGCGGTCACATGTTAAAGCAGACCATTTCTCCCTTGAAAACGCTCCTCTGAATTTCTTTCCTCTTGTTAATTCAAGACACAATTCGCACACACAAACACGCAAACACACGCAGATACGCATAATCAAATCACTCAAATACCTTCCTTCAGTCACTCAGAATCATCTCTCCCGTTCAGCTCAAGCATGGATTCCAACAAAGCTTCGCAACCCGCTGAAAAGGTAACTGCCCTGACAAAGCCACAGAGCGTTTCGTTGTGCTCGCGATTGCTAATTTCTTACCGCGCGTGCCTACATAGACCGCATTCGTCCTGGGCAAATTCCCGCTTGACAAAGGCAAAGCCAAAGGCGTACAGGACGACAAAGTCATCGAGGCTCGTACAAAGCTCGCTAGAGCGATGGCGGAACGATTGGTGAACGGGGGCAATTTGCGACAGATCGGATTCCAGAACAATATGACGGGGGACCAGGCAGGGCGGTTGATTGCCGAACTTGCTCTTCAGGCCTCGAAGAAGACGGAGGATAGTCCAGAGGCGTGAATGGGACAGGACTTGAAGCTCTGGTCTCTGGTCCATGGTCTCGGTGTGTTGTTCGGGCCGGAAAACAGTGGTGTGCCTTCAGAGGGGTCTGTTGTGAGCACCATGGAGTCTATGGAGTCACCGAGGATGGCCACGTACTCATAGGGAGAGAGGCGAACTGTACTCGGTATTGATACCGAATCGAAGGAAGAATCCTGGTTAGCAGAGCAGAGCCTCTCAAATACCAAAATAGCAACGAAGCTTTGAAGACATAAAACGTCCCTTTCCCCCTCTTTCAGAAGCAGTGCAGAGGCAGAGGTACCGAGTAGATCAGAACGATTCATTCATCTCTCAAACTGTCCAGGTTGTTTGCTACCTGGTCCGCACCCAAATCCATCCACCACAAACATGATGAGCAAATGAACAACACAACATCCCATGCCCAGCCTATTCCATCGTCCACATCGAAGTGGCTGTCCTTTGTCAACATCCTCAACTACCACCGCTCACTCGATAAAGGATGAACTGCCTCGAGGCTGTGCAAGGCAGTCCATGCATGTCCACTGCCTCACGGCAGGTCTCCTCACTATTCGTCTCGGATTCCATAAATATTCCTTGTCAAACATCCTCAACACTACCTCGCCACATAACAGCACAGATAATCAGCAATCAACTCGCCTACCTCCTGATTAGAATCTCCCCAAGCTCGACATAAGTCACCAATAACAGACCAGAAGGATCCAACGACGATATCAGCCAAGGACAGCAACAACCCAGCGATGACCGATACCACCACGGCCTCAGGACAAGCAGATCCGTATGCAAGCACGGTATCCTCGCCAGCGACGTCAGACGTGCCAGGAGGGACGGTGGGTACTCCGAGACGATTCATCCGATCGCTGACATCCAGGAAGTCGTTCAACGTCGCATCGGACCCGTCTCTTGTGCCCACGCCCCTCACCATTAGAAAGCAAGCCCGAAACATCTCAGGCCCTGCATCCCTCCCGAGCAGCGACAATGCCACCCCCAAGGCCCATCAGAACGAGCGCCATGGTCATGGCCACACCAAGCCGGAACCTGGGACCAACAGCAGCAGCAGCACTCCAGGCGGTATCTGTCACCACTTCCGCAACCGACCCCGCTCGCACCAGCACGCGATCCTTGCCGCCGTGACCAGAATGGTCGACAACGGCGAGGCCGAAGTGGCTGAGATTGCGGGGGTTTTGGATATGGAGCCGAGCGAGCTGGTCCAGTACATGGCGGATTTCGAGGCGTTGGCTCGAGAGGCTCCAAGCGTGGTGGACGAAGAGATCACGGCGTTCTATTCGTCGATTCCTGCCACAGTGCTGAGCGAGAGCGAGGTGGACGAGCTCTGCGGCGGCACGCCTCTGAGATGTGTCGAAACGAACGAAACTGGCGTTGTCGCTTTGACAGGGAAAGAGACAGAGACAGAGCCGGCCACGCACGAGAGGGACGACCTATCGGATGACGGGTCCGAGAGCACCATCCGCGCGAGGCGTTTATCCTGGGTAAGTAGCGACGATGACGACGACGACGACGACGGCGCCGAATTATACTACGACGCACAGGAATATCCCGACGAGAGCCCAAGTCCAAGCTGCGTGCCTCTACCACTCTACACTGTTCTATGGAGCAGTAGCGACCACGACCACGCTGACAGAACCATCCACTCCCACTACCTGACACCAGGCCGCCAGGTACTTGAACTTCAACGCCGTCGACCCCCCATTCCTAACACCAGCACCACCACTACCGCAATCGTCTTCTCCATCGCCCTACCCCTTCCAGACCCAGCACCACCTCCTCCAGCTCCACCACCGCCACCGCAGAACTCGCTCCTCCAGAGAATCATCTCCAAGGTCCCGAACATCGTGTGGATGGGTCTGGCCGTGCTGGTCGGGCGATTTCTGGGCGTTGCGCTGTCCGAGGCGACTTCGCCGCATCATGGATATGGGTACTTGCACTCGTGTTACTAGCGAGAAGCGATGAAATGACATGGCCAAGATGGGATGATGGATTAATGGATAATGGAAAAGTGAATATCTTTGTTCGAACGAGGAGGTACGATAAAGGAAAGGAAAACCCCACGAAGAAGAGAAAAAAACGACGAAAATGCCAAAAACAAAACCAAAAGTAATATCAAACAAAATTCAAAGAAATACAAAGCATACAATCAGTCAGTCAGTCATTCTACTCTGCTCTGCTCTACTCTACTTGTAGCCGCAACATCGTATCTGTAAAACCTTTCAGTGGAGCGAGTGCGTAACATTACACACACACCAGGACAAATACATCCACACAACACACATACATATACCTAGATACATACGCACACGAATTGAAGAACGAGGAAGACATACACACACACACACACACACACACACGAGGTGAGTCTGAAAAAAAAGGGATCAAGTCAGATCACGTGTATCCGCTGCCCACCGAGGCTCAGGCGAGGCTGGAATGCGTCAGGGGCGTACGTTCCGCGCCTCTCAACCTCTACAAATCAGTGTCAAAAAGGTCATCCTTCACATCCGCAATAGTAGAAATACCGGCCTACTGAGGGTACGGACGTAGGCAGACAGCATGCATGTGGATCTGCACTTTACTTCGCGTCACTTCATGTCGCTTCACTTATTTTACCCTACGCTGCACTACCACGTCAACTCAGCGTACAGGGTATGTACTAATGTATGTACGCAGTACGTATCGGAGCCGGCCCTAAACAGCATACACTAGACTTGCATATCAACAATCACGGTCGTGGTCAAGAATAGTCTACAGACGTGGATAAAGCTGTGTCATTTTGCTTTCATGCTCACGCCCAAATCTGTGCGAATGTCGTTGATGTCATGTAGAGCACTGTTTGAATTCTTTGCATGTTGTCTGGTGTCAAATGCACTCTAGTTCCCTCCAAGCCCAAATCGCGTCACTGATCAAGTGCTCCATGTATGTGGTGATGATACACTTGCCAAGTCGGGATAGAAGACTGTACATGTCCCTCGTCCTATCAGTCTGTAACGCGGAAACAGTTGAAACTCTTCCTGAACTAGCCAATCACGTGCCGTCTGATAAGGCTATCGTCATCATAACACCACCCAAGTGTCATTGGTATCTCAAGCCACCCGAGATGCAATCGCTCCAATTAAGCACCGAGACCTTGACCTCGTCGTTAGGTCAGTACTCGTCCATCATTTGCTCAGTCTTCCTGATCACACCGCTGAATCGTCCTGTACCGCCTTCACTCTGTCCATCTTCGACAGCGGCCCATCGCTCAAGGTTGTTGGGCCAGCCAAACGTCATCTGCCACGCCTCCTCGAGGACCCGCTTTTCGATGGGATGGATGCACTGAGTCAATGTTCCCAGCCAAGGGTATTGCTCGCCGCTTACCGAGGTCTCCTCAATCATGATCTCATCCGCGTCCGTGATATCCGAGTTTGCCTTCATCCGAAAGCCCTTTTCAGGATCAAATTCGAATAGTAGTGGCGGGACAAATCGTGCCTTGCGAACGTACAGAGCGTCGTCCATGCTCGGCTCGGCGCGGACAACAGCCGCGTTTTGATTAAAGTCTGCCGCGTGTCTCTCTGGAACCGAGATCTTCACGTAGCCACAGCTGTTAAGAATGATTTGTTGGATGTGTCCACGGAATGTTGCCTGAGGCATCGGGTGAACTTTTCTGTCAACAAGGCCCGCGTCATACTTGTGTGCCAACAGTGTCTTTCCCGGCGTAATGGCATCAAGGACTTGGACCCAAGAAGCACCGGTGGGCAAAATCTCTTGAGTCCAGTCTTCTCGAGGATGAAGACAGTGAAGACGACCCATCATATTCCACGTGGGCGCGGTGATATCACCATCATGATGCGCGGTCATGCTGACCGAATCGAGGCTCAAAGAATGGAGGCTTGTGTCTCGGCTGTCCTTCATGAATCCCCGAAGCATCGATGGTGTGAACCAACAGTTTTGAAATTTGAGCTCTCGCACGTGGTCGAATTTTGTAATCAGGACGCCTTGCTTTTTACTAGCATTGTCAAACAGCCAATCTCCGGGATTGTCGACAATTGGCGCAGGCAAGACGTGCTTATTACGGGCAAACATGCCAACAGCATGTTCTCCACCCCCGGTGTAACCAATAGTCAGGCTGTGTAGACTCTCCATCTTGACAATGTATCTCCTCAGGAATTTGGTGAACTTCTCGGCAGCTTTAGATGGCAAGATCGCCATGTGCCTTGCAAATAGTCGATCCCCCGTCACGTGCTCCTGGCGCCAGTCGGGGCTGATAAGGACCTCCAACGTCGTTAGTCCAGACAAGCTCTTCCAGAACTCTTCCAGTTCTAACGATGGAAGGAGTCCAGACGACAGTTTGCTGATCCGCAGGGTATGTATCGACTTGAAGTTCTGCTTTTGTGTGATAATCGCCGTCGTATAGGCTGACAGGAAAGCACGCTGCGCCCATACAGTCTCCATTAACCATTGCGCTTGCGGCTCCGTCAGCATGCCTGGTAGAAGCGGAGATGCACCCGGATTAGCCATTTTGCTTTGGATAAATGTACAGTGACCACCATGCTCAGCAGCAAGATTGTGGCCACTGAAAATTAATGGCCACTGAGGTAGTTTTCTTCCTCCTTTCCGCGCATGTGCCAACAGTTGCCGCTGAATCGCAACCTGAAGGGCCTGCGAAAAATTGGGGATATCGCCATTTGCATCCATCAGAGCTTCCACTCCAGGAACTGGGCTCCCTCCTACATGGCATTCGGGGTCGTAATCGAATTGCTCGTCCTGACGTCTGAAACTCTCAATGTCTCGGATTTTGAGTCCTTCCAAGAAGCGAATTTCTCTAGCAGCGATCTCTGGGGGAGGCTGTTTCGCCATGAGTGCCTTGATGGTTCCATTGATAGTACTCTGTTGAGCCCATCTAAAATATTCATTACGAGCAAATGTAACCCAAACGTCTTCGGTCGGGAACGTCTTCCCAAAAACTTTGGACCCCTTCGTAGTTCGTCGGTCGAAAAGGGCCATATCGGAGATGTCAGGACCTTCAAGCCAGCCGTGGCCGCTGTCGATACATAATCCAAGTTCTGAGGCCTTAGTTATGTGGCTAAGCGCTTCTTTGAGCAATGGGCGGTTATGGTCGACCAGGTCCTCGATTGCCTGCAGTTCTGGAAAGCGTGGATACTGTTCAGTAGGCCATGTGAACTTGCCGAACCATGCGACTTGTTCCTTTTCAATGGTTTTCGTCTTAGCACGTGACAAGCCTTGCAGATCGTACTCGAATGACACGCCAAATTTGTTTATATTCACGCCATACTTCTTGAACATCGAGTCAGAGGGGAGGAGCCCCAACCTGCTATTCCAGTCGCTGCTGCCTGCGTCGAAGAAGTGTCTATCAAAGTTGACCACGACATTCCTGAACTGAATTGGAGCTATGACTCGTGCGAGAGACTTGCTGGCCAGTCGGAGATTTCTCACATCTTGCGTGGAGAGATAGCTGATAACTTCTGTCCACAGATCGGCATCAATCTTTTGTAGGACGCTGGATTCTGGCTTGAGAGGTTTGACGGCTTTAAATGAGCGTGCTCTAGTCGAACTTGTTGATATCGGAGACAGGCTAGGAGGTATCGAGGGTTTCCAGAGGCGGGGATACTGTTTTTCGGGGACTGGATCGGGAACGTCCTCCAGACTCTCGGCTGGGTGAAGGATATCGTCAATGGCGAACGCAAGCCGTGATCCCCTCCTGGCAGCGATAGCCGCGTAAAGAGGAGTCCTTCCGGCATGGCTTAAACGCGTTCGTTCTTGTGGTTCAGCCGGACTGTTCCCGGCCCAATCGTTTCCAGCTGCACTGTTTCGCTTCGCATGCCTCACCTGGTGCATAAACTGCTTCTTTTCGCTTGGTGGTATGGTTTCGGGAATAAGGCTCGAATATTTGAAAGAAACGAGTGGTGAAGATTGGTCCTCCGACCCAGATTGTACGACGTCTTTACTCGGAGGGGGTGCCTTCAATGAAGCCTGGCGGTCCTGGACACAATGAACAGAATTGTGAGATGATGCTTGAAGAACTTTGTTGCCCGTGGGCTCTTGCGCACGCGAAGAGGGAAGACAGCCTACGGACAAGGTAGGATCGTTCTCGGACTGGGAAATTGGATGAGACGCTGGAGTTCCCTCGTGTTGGAGGGGGCCAGGATGATGAGCCTCCGCACGAGATGCTGAGACGTCAGTACTCATAACAGCTGATGAGCCTGAGAGTGAGAGGGCCTTGGAGTGTCTTCTCTGACGCAGCCTTGCGCGCAAGGGGCTAACAGAATCTTCGTGAGCCGTGTTTCTGACAGCCATTCTCTTGCTTTTGGTGTGCTCTTCGAATGTGGTTGCCCTAGAGTGACTCGCGCCGCTTGGTAACGAAGTGGGGGCATCTTCTAAATGGGAGTTTTGCTGAGGTAGGTCTGACAGGAATGGGATTGGTTGTGCTGGCTGAAAGAGCGTAGGCGTTTTCTGATCACTCGCAACTTGGTTCGCCTGGTTGAGAGAACCTTTGCGAGCCAGGCGTTGCGATCGACGAGTTGCCAACGCCCCAGCAGGAGGGAGACCGTTGACTCGCTCAGTGAGCTCTGGAGCAGCAGATGGTGAGAAGAGACCATGCGTCGTTGACGGAGCACTGCTGGGATGAAGCAGGCTAGATGTCTTGTCTTCGAGCGTCTCCTTCTGTTTCCCTTTCCCTTTCCCTTTAGCCGCTTTGGTGTCGCGTTCACGCCTCAGCTTGTCCACCTCTGCCCGCAAATATTCAACCAGGGTATTAGGACCAAAGTCGGTCGTAAAGGGAAGGTAGGCAGGGTCGGCTTCGGTTTCAGCGAGGGAGTCTTTCTTCTTGACAACTTTGATAGCGGAGGAGGCCCGGCGCTCGGTGCGAGCCAGCAGCGAAGTGAAATCATCGGTTTCTCCCTCTGCAACTTGCAAAGCAGGGGCATGTTCGCCGTCTCCCGATTCGTTC